AAATTTATTCAGGTCCTGCTAAATAGAATTCAAGCTCCTTGATTTGGCATTCTGACCTCATCTTTTTTAGGATACCTCCTGTAATTTCTACACCACTGAATTCTATACCCACCAGGCATTTTGTATGGTAGATAATCTGGTCTAATCTAAACCAGAGAGTACCAGAGGGCTCTCTCTCAGTCACCCTTCTCTATTCTGTCTTCCCACTCTCCCTAAATGATCTCACTCAGTACCAAGGCTTTAAATGTATATGCTGATGACTCCTAATCTCCAGCCTTGTCTTTTATATTCGATTACCTGTGTGACATCTCCACTCAGATAACTGATAAGCATTTCAAACATAACATGGATAAAATAAAACTCATATGTCTAGCTCCATTATCCCCCCTAGAATATTTCTCCTGAAGTCTCCTTCAACTCAATAAACGCTACTATGTTCTCCTCAGATACTCAAGGCAAAAAATCCAGGCATTTTCCCCACTTGCTCTTTTTACCCCCGTCTCAAATAGAAATCATTAGCAAATCCTGCTGCCTCATCCTCCCAAACACAACCCAAATCCATCTACATTTCTCCATGTCCACTGCTATCGGCCTAATTCTGAACTACTACAGTGTCCTTTTAGCTGGTCTCCCCACTTTCATCCTTACCCTTAATGATCCATTTTCTGAAAAAATGTGAATACGGTAATGCCATTTCTCTGCTTTAAAAAACTCTTGTTTGGTAGGCATAATGATGGTCCCTCCAAAGTTGTCCACCTACAGTAATCAGAAATTGTAAGTATGTTATGTTACATGACAAGGGTGAATTACATACTCCTGGATCATCCAGGTGGGCCCAGTGTAATTTTTTAAATGGTGGGAACAGAAACAGAGGAGTTAGAATCAGAGTAGTACAATGTGAGAAAGATTAAACCGGCCCTTTCAGGCTTTGAAGATGGAAGGGAGCCATGGGCTCTAGATTCCCGCACAGAGGATCGGTGCCGACCGGCACTCACCAGCCCGAATGCAGACAGACCCTAGAAGCTGAAAAACGCAAGGAAATGGATTCTCCCCTACAGCTTCCAGGAAGGATGTCGACACCTTAATTTTAGCCCATTGAGAATCATTTCTGATTTCTAACCTCCAGAATTGTGAAAGAATAAAAATATGTGTTGTTTCAAGCTACTGAGTTTGTGGCAATTTGTTAGAGCAACAATAGGAACTCAATACACCTTCCCAAGGATTCTCATTGAGCTGAAAATAAAATGAAAACTCCATACTCTGCATTACAAACTCAGCAAGATCAACTCTTCAATCCCATCATCATCCACTTTCCTCTGCCTTTTATGGGTTCCTCAAACATGCAAAACTTATAGCTGCCTTAAGGAATTTTCACGATAGCCTCTGTACCTAACATGCTCATCCCTAAACTGCCACAGCTGGTTTCCTGCTACTCATGTCTCAGCTTGACTGTTCACCTTTCCTATAGACCTTTTCCAATCATCTGATCTAAAGTAACTCCCAGTTATTCTTTATCACACCACTCCATTTTACCCACAGCACAGCACTTACTAATTTTTGCTATTTTTCTTATTTATTAGCTTACATTCTATTAGAATGTAAGCTCCATGAGAACAGAATCTATAACTGTGATGATACAGAGTTGTTGGTTTGCAAACTGGCCCCTATACACAGAGGGCAAGGAGAGACCAAAGAAAGAGGCAAACAACTCTAGATTAGCAGGTGGTAGTTTTAATAAGCAAGAGAACTTATATATGAGGTTTGTCTTGGGCAGTTGGTTGCAAGACAAGTAGATCTCATACCATCTGGATGGTCTCAACAGCACCTTGCTCTCTCAAGGCTGCATCCTCGGAACAGCTTCCACAGTGGGAACAGTGGGCAAGAAGTACATTCTAAGGACGGGGAGGGGGCAATTACCCAACTGTCCAGGTCCAGGTTTCAGGTCAACCAGTGGTCACGTCCTCTGGCTGACTCCTCTGACAATAGTAGGCACTATAAAGTATTTATCGCATGAATGTGCAAAGAAATGATGCAAGAAACGGCAGCTGTTTTGTGGTACTGAACATGAGGACTTTTCGAAATGTTTAAGTAAGACTAAAAATTGTCATATATTTGTAAGAAAATTAAAATAACAAGAAATGAGCTACATGATCCTTTTCACTGACTCCATGAATATCTGGCTGAGCTCACATTGTTTCATGGGTAGGAGGTGAACTAGAAGCAACGTTCATCATTCTTCCACAGTTGCTTTGGTAGAGCCTCGTCCCAGGAAATCTTAACAAACTCTCATTATAGGAGAAAGTTTCCCTACAGTGTACTTCAGCACAGACTTGGTCCTGCATCGTCATAGTGATGTAGCCCTCACCTGAAATAATCATATTGCTCTAGAATTGAATTCTGAGGGAAGGGATTTATTTCTGCTTTGTTTTTTGGTGTATCTTCAGGGTACATCTCAGAAATATGCATAATCCTGATATAAGTGAGGTTGTAATCAAACTGGGGGAATAAGACTTACACCCATAAATGCCAGAGGACCACACAAGGCAAGTATTGAGACTTGAGAAGGTGTTACATGGGTAATAAGAGCCTGGGAGGAGGGAAGAAGACAGATGAGCTTGTCCGGGGTAGACCTTGGATTGACCATTAAGGAAGGGGTAGGATTTGGATAGATGGAGGAAAATGGTGAGGATAATATAGATAAGGTAAAATGCACCACATGAAGAATGACAGTGACTTATTCAGAAAGCCATGAAGAGACGGGCTTGGCTTAGGGATGGTAAAGGGTAGTGCAAAGTACAAGAAGATAAAGTGAATTCAAATGATGTAGATTAGGAAAATCAAGATATGTAATTAACCAAACAAATTGTGACTAGTGATTGATGGGCAATAGGGATTCATTGCACTATAAATGATGAGAAAGTCCCAATAAGGGAATATTTTGAGGAAAGAAATATCTCCAGAAGGTGCTTCTGGATTTTCAAGGAAATTTTAATGGTTATTTTTTAAATTATTATTATTAAAAAATGTAAAGGTTACTTCTAGTAACTAAGGTATAAGATTAAAGATATTATGAATGTAACTTCAAAGGAATATTCTAGAAATTATATATTGACTTTAAAAAGAGGTGAGAAAGGTGCTACTTTAAGACCTCTGCTCACACAACCTCTCCTCTGAGTCAGGAAGTCCTAGTTCAGTTCCCACTTCCTCTATGAGGCTTTTGCTGAACAATCCAGTGGGAATTTTTTTTCCCACCTAGAATTTTATATTCAGAGTGGTAATAAAGATAAATAGTATAAACTTATATAAATTAAAATCAAAACATGTCCCTTAAAATTGGCTTAGAAATGGGCATTTGCCTTACGTTTTAGGTTTCAAATGATACATTTAATTATTCCAACTTAGTAGCTTTGTAATGTTTAGGAGATTAGGTCTCTCAGGAAGTACTCTGATGTCAATGCCAATTAAATCTCTTTAGAATTATTTAAAATATTTGAACCATTCTCTAGCAATGATATAAATATTATCATTGACTTGTTGGTAGAAATATTCTCCTAAACAATCAAGACGATAGAGTTTTATTTCTGGATCTACTTTAATAACCATCATCAGGCAACCATCTAGCCTTTATTAAACTCTTATTGGAGAAATCCAGGTGGGAAAGAATTTAAAAAATTTTTTGGTAGAAATATTAACCTCCAGAAACATTTATTTAAGTTCTTTAAGGTTTTTGCCTTGCAATTCTTATTTTTAAATTTTTTAAGTTCCTTAAAGTCTTTCCTCTACCCTAAGGTCCATTGTGTAAGAACTGGACAAATGACTATCATTTATTTGCATCACTTCTGAATTTAAGAGAAGCCTAAATTTACCCAAAAATAGATAAGTAAAAGCATACGTTTATAGTAATTACAGAAAACCTTCTCAAAGTTTTGTGAACTTCTTTTAAAAATGTGGTTTGCCATATAACTTACAGCTTAACAGCCTCTACAATGAAATGTTGTTTAAAATTTTTGTGTCAGACATTCCCTATGTATTAAATAAATTATATGAGGAAGGAATATATTTTTAAACCATTCTTTTAAACCCCTGATGTAATTTTAAGGAGCTTTTTAGCTTATCTTTTGATTTTTAGAGAAATAAAATATCAATGTAAAACTTATTTCTGTCTGATTAATTATCATCAACTAGGGAAAATGAAGGAAAACTATGTTATGTGACTTCAAGTTGGCAAGTGTAAGGCATTTAATGAAAAAACTTATTCAAATTACCTAGATTTAAAATGTTCATTTTTTTTAGACTTCAGGTTATCAAGAGTAAGGCATTTAATGAAAAAATAATAATTCAAATTATACAGCTTTCAAATGTTCATTTCTAATATTGTTTCTAAATGTATCAGTCACAAATAGTCTGAGTTTAAAAGTTAGTAAACAGTTGCAGGAAGCCAAAGGAAAGAGATCTTCTCTCCAAAATGCAGGCAGACTCTCAACCACTGCGCCACCAGGGAAGCCATGAATTTATCAATTTTTAACCCTTAAGGATGCTTCAATTTCTTTTGATAGCATTTAAATTTCTTTAGATTTTAATATGCACATGCACACAGGAGCAATTTTATATTGTGTGCCTAAATGACATCATAAATACCATAAAGACCATGAAAATAGTTTTTTTTAATGTTTTATAGTAGAAAAAATATATAACATAAAATTTATCATTTTAACTATATTTAAGTATTTACAGTTCAGTGGCATTAAGTTTATATTGTTGTGCAACTATCATCACCATCCAACTACAGAAATTTTTCATCTTCCCAAACTGAAACTCTGTACCCATTAAACAATATTCCCCATTCCTTCCCTCCCCAGACAACCTTTAATTCATGTAAGTGGAATCACACAATATTTGTCCTTTTATGCCTAGCTTATTTCACTTAGCATAAAGTCATCAAATTTCATCCATGTTTTAACATGTGTCAGAATGTCATTCCTTTCTAAGGCTGAATAATATTCCACTTTTTGTCTATACCACATTTTGTTCATTCATTCATCCAGCAGTGGAGAGTTGGGTTGTTTCTACCTATGACTATCCTGAATAATGTTTCTATGAACATGGGTGTACAAAAATAGTCTTTCAAACAACACTGTTAATCTGTACAGATACTGTCACTGAAATTGTTTGGGAACATTGATACCAATTGCTGACACCTAAATTATGAATCAGCTTTAGCTAATCCATATAGAGAAGTTTTTTGCACTGAATATTCCTCTCAAGACCTCAAAAGCCATCTTTGTGCATCTAATCTGATGTTTTCTCTTGAAAATATGCTGGGAAAATGTTAAATAACTAGCTTAAAAGTTAAGAGCTCCTGGAGATTGATACGCCCAGAGAAATGGGCATACACCAAAATCCACGTGACTTGTGAAGGCATTATGGAAGATGTTCCTCGTCCTTCTGGGCCAGAGAGAGCTCAAGAGTTGAATTGGGCATATTATAAATTAGTACCTCATTTCTCCACAATTTTTTCTCAACAGCAGAGTCAGGAATGGCTAAAGAAAATCATACTGTAAAACATGAGTTTATCCTCACAGGATTTACAGACTACCCAGAGCTGAAGACCCTTCTGTTTGTGGTGTTCTTTGCCATGTATCTGATCACCATGGTGGGGATTCTTGGCCTGGTGATACTGATTTCAAAAGAGCATCATCTTTGCACACCAATGTACATCTTTCTGGGCAACCCCACTCTCGTGGATTCTTGCTGTGCCTGTGCCATTACTCCTAAGATGTTAAGGAACTTCTTTTCTGAAAACAGAACGGTTTCCCTCTATGAATGCATGGCACTGTTTTATTTTCTTTACACTGTTGAAACTGCAGACTGCTTTCTTCTGGTGGTAATGGTCTATGATCACTATGTGGCCATATGCAGCCCTCTGCAGTACCATACCAGGATGTCAAAGGAACTCTGCATTCAGATGACCACAGGGGCCTACATAGCTGGAAACCTGCATTCTATGATTCATATAGGGCTTCTATTTAGGTTAGTTTTCTGTGGATCAAATCACATCAAACACTTTTATTGTGATATTCTTCCTTTATATAGGCTCTCCTGTGTTGACCCTTACGTCAATGAACTGGTACTGTTTATCTTTTCAGGCTCAATTCAAGTCTTCACAATAGGTAGTGTCTTAATATCTTATCTCTACATTCTCTTTACTATTCTCAAAATGAAATCCAAAGAGGGAAGGGTCAAAGCCTTTTCTAGCTGTGCATCCCACTTTTTGTCAGTTTCATTATTTTATGGATCTCTTTTTTCATGTACATTAGTCCAAATTTGCTTGAAGAATGGGATAAAGATATACCAGCTGCTATTGTGTTTACAGAAGTAGTTCCTTTACTAAACCCTTTTATTTGTAGCCTAAGAAATAAGGAAGTAATAACTGTTTTGAGGAAAATTCTGAAGAAAAAAATTTGAAACAAGTGGGGTCTACTGTACCTTAATGATTTAAATGCAGAAAAAAAAACTTCCAAGTGAAATTACACAGAGAAAATGCACAAATTGTATGTAAAATATTAAAACATATCATAATGCATTCAATTTAAGTAGCAGTATATAAGGGAGAAAATATACAAGAAGGAGAAAATTATACTAAATCTTAATTCAAATTAAAAAAAATCAAAAACAAATTTTGAAATAATTCAAGAAAAATACAGTATGCTGCCAAGGTCATGGATTGTGTCAGCATCGGGGGATATCAGCACCCAAAAGAAAAGCAATTATATCTCAATAAAACTGAAAAAAGTTTTTAAATTGTCAGACTGAGGAAAAGAAAAGGAAGCAAACCAACAAAATTAGCAATTTCAAATATAAAGGAAAATCCTAATTAAGCATTAATAGCCAGCCCACATTAATAGTTTGGAGCATGAGCACTCCAGTTATGCTAAAAGGGTTTAAGGGTATATGAACCTTCAACCAATGAAATCACTTACAACCATGAGTGACAAAGCTGAGGCAAGTGAATTTTGAGGAATTACTTTTAATAGCATTTTGAGGGACATTGTAGTTAGAATAGAGGCAGTTAGGAAACAAAGGTGTGAAATAAAAGTGAATATTACATTTCTAAGTTTAATTTCCTATGGAGTTGCATAATTAAAGATGGAATGTAGGGCTTCCCTGGTGGCGCAGTAGTTGAGAGGCCGCCTGCCGATGCAGGGGGGACACGTGTTCGTGCCCCGGTCCGGGAAGATCCCACAAGCCGCGGAGCGGCTGGGCCCATGAGCCATGGCTGCTGAGCCTGCGCGTCCGGAGCCTGTGCTCCGCAACGGGAGAGGCGACAACAGTGAGAGGCCCACGTACCACAAAAAAAATAATAAAATAAAAAAGCCAAACTCATAAAAGTAGGGTAAAATCGTGGTTACTAGGGGCAGGGGTGTGGGAGAATTGGAGAGATGTTTGAGTGTATAAACTTGAAACTAATAGTTTCATGGTAACCTTGGACATGCCTGAGTCTTGTATGCCTTTCAGAAATTTAAAATTGGTATCATAAATTATTTCTATTAATTTGAAGTTTTCATTAATTTTTTACTAAAATAAATTTTTGACTAAATATAGATATGATTTTTTTCAAAGACGGTAAACTTGTTAATGGGATTGGGTTCATTCGTTACTTGAAAAAATGTTTATTAAGATGTCTGTAGCATCAACACTGGATATATGAAGTAGGAGAGGAAGTATGCTGTTATACAAAACAACATAAATATACAATATAACATAGCATAGTGACTATATTTATTCAAAATATTTCATGGGGCTTCCCTGGTGGCGCAGTGGTTGAGAGTCCGCCTGCCGATGCAGGGGACACGGGTTCGTGCTCCGGTCCGGGAAGATCCCACATGCCGCGGAGCGGCTGGGCCCGTGAGGCATGGCCGCTGAGCCTGCTCATCCAGAGCCTGTGCTCCGCAACGGGAGAGGCCACAGCAGTGAGAGGCCCGCGTACCGCCAAAAATCAATAAATAAAAAATAATAATAACAAAATATTTCATGTATAAATACTTAATAGATACAGTCATAACTTAGTTTCATCTTCTATAGCTCACAAGTAGAAAAGGTTACATTTTGCTACAAATATTTACACTGTACTTGTTTCAGCAAAAATTTACTAATATTCCATGGATCTTATAGTTAATGGATAAACAATTTTCAAAACTTCAGAAAACTGAATTTTAAAGATAATTTTTTAAAATATAGCATAATCAACTATACTCCAATATAAAATAAAATTTTTAAAAATTAAAGAAATTTTAAAAAAATATATGTAACAATTTTCTTTATGACTCTATAATGACACAGACAATATGTTTTAAAATATTTCTTAAGGAAATATTTAGTGGTTAACTATACAAACTCTTAAAAATCAAACATATTTTGGACATTAAAAGGATAATAAGGGAATGTTATGAACAACTCTATGCCCATAAATTTGATAATCTGGATGAAATGGACCAATTCCTTGAAAAACACAATCTGCCAAAACTCATACAAAAAGAAATAGACAAGCTAAAAAGCTTATACCTATTAAAGAAATTGTATCAATGATTAATAACCTTCCAAAACAAAAAGTACCAGGCCCAGATAAGTTCAATTGATAAATTCTACAAAACATTTAAGGAAGAAATTATACCAATTCCCTACAATTTTTTTCTGAAGATAGGGGCAAAGGGAATACTTTCTAACTCATTCTATAAAGCCAGCATTACTCTAAAACCAAACCAGACAAAGACAATACAAGAAAACTACAGATAAATATCTCTCATAAACATAGATGCAAAAATTCTCAACAAAATATTAGCAAAGTGAATCTAACAATGTATAAAAAGCCTATGCACCATGACCAAGTGGAATTTATCCCAGGTATGCAAGGCTGGCTCAATATTCAAAACAGAATTAATGTAATCTTTTACATCAACTGGCTAAAGAAGAAAAATTACATGATCACCTTAACAGATGCATAAAGAGCATGTGACAAAATTCAACATCCAACAAAATTCAACATTCACTCATGATAGAAGCTCTCAGTAAGCTAGAAATGGGGAAAAACTTCCTCAACTGGATAAATAATATCTACATAAAACCTACAGTTAATATCAAACTTAATGGTGAGAAACTTGAAGCTTTCCCACTAAGATCAGAGACAAAGCAAGCAAAAGCACCACAGCTTTTCAACATTGTGCTGGAAGTGCTAGCTAATGCAATGAAACAGGAAAAGGAAATAAAAGGGATACTTGTTGAGAAGAAAGAAATAAAACTGTCTTTGTTCACAGATGACATGACTGGCTATGTAGAAAATCTGAAAGAATCAACAAAAAACTCTTGGAACTAATAAGCAATTATAGCCAAGTTGCAGGATACAAGGTTAGTACAAAGGTTACACAAAAGTATATTTTAAGGTATTGCTTTTCTGTATAACAGTAATGAACAAGTGGAATTTGAAATTAAAAACACAGTACCATTTACATTAGCACCCATAAAAATGAAATACTGAGTTATAAATATAAAAAAATATGTATAAGATCTATATGAGGAAAACTATCAAACTTTGATAAATCAAAGGAAACTAAAATCAATGGAGAGATATTCCATGTTCATGGGTACAAAGGTTCAATATTGTAAAGGTGCCCCAAATTGATCTATAGATTCAATGCAATCCCAATCAAAATCCAGGCAAGTTATTTTGTGGCTATTGACAAACTGATTCTCAAGTTTCTATAAAGAGGCAAAAGACCCAGAATAGTCAACACAATATTTAAGGAGAACAAAGTTGGAGAACTGACACCACCTAACTTCAAGACTTACTATAAAGCTACAGTAATCAAGACAGTATGGTATTGGCATAAGAATAGACAAATAGATCAATGGATAGAAGAGAAAGACCAGAAATAGACCCACATAAACATGATTGTAAGATATTTGACAATAGAGCAAAAACAATGCAATGGAGCCAAGACTGTCATTTCAACAAATGCCGCTAGAACAACTGAACATGCAAAACAAAACAAATGAACAAAAAAGTCTAATATACCTTACACCCTTCACAAAAATTAACTCAAAATGTATCATATGACAGTCTCTAGGTCCATCTACATCTCTACAAATGACCCAATTTCGTCCCTTTTTAGGGCTGAGTAATATTCCATTGTATATATGTACCACATCTTCTTTATCCTTTCCTCTGTTGATGGACATTTAGGTTGCTTCCATGTCCTGACTATTGCAAATAGTGCTGCTATGAACATTGGGGTGCATATGTCTTTTTGAATTATAGTTTTCTCTGGGTATACACCCAGTAGTGGGATTGCTGGGTCAGATGGCAGTTCTTTTTTCAGTTTTTTAAGGAAACTCCATACTGTTTTCCATAGTGGCTCTATCAATTTACACTACCACCAACAGTACATGAGGGTTCCCTTTTCTTCACACCCTCTCCAGCATTGTTTGTAGATTTTTTGGTGATACAGAGTGAAGTAAGTCAGAAAGAGAAAAAAATATATCGTATATTAACGCATATATGTGGACTCTAGAAAAATGGTATAGATGATCCCTTTTGAAAAGCAGAAATAGAGACACAGACATAGAGAACAAATGTATGGACACCAAGGGGGAAGGGGGGTGGGAGGAATTGAGAGATTGGGATTGACACATATACACTATTGATACTATGTATAAAATAGATAACTAATGAGAACATACTGTATAGCACAGGGAGCTCTACTTAACCCACTGTGGTGACCTGAGTGGGAAGGAAGTCCGAAAGGAGGGGATAAATGTTTATGTGTGGCTGATTCATTTTGCTGTACAACAGAAACTAACACAACATTGTAGAGCAACTATACTCCAATAAAAATTATTTTTAAAAAATGTATTGCAGATGTAAAGGAAAAATGCAGTATTATAAAATTCCTAGAAGATACCAGGAGAAAATCTAGATGACTTTGGGATTGACAATGAGTTTTAAGATATAAGACCAAAGCCATGATACATAAATGAAAGAATTGATAAGCTGGACTTCAATAAAATTAAAATTTTCTGCTTGCAAAAGACACTGCCAAGAGAATGAAAAGACAAGCCACAAATCAGGAGAAAATATTTGCATAAGACACATCTGATAAAGGGCTGTTATCCAAAATACAGAAAGAACTCTGAAAACTCAACAATAAGAAAACAAACAACCAGATTAAAAAAGAGGCCAAAGATAATAACAGACACCTCTACAAAGAATATATACAGATGATGAATAAGCCTATGAAGAGGTGCTCATAGCCATCAGCAAAATGCAAATTAAAACAACGAGACACCGTTACACACCTAGTAGAATGGCCAAAATCTGGAATAATGACACCACCAAATGCTGGCAAAAGTGTGGTGCAACAGGAACTCTCATTCATTCCTGGTAGAAATGCAAAATTGTACAGCCACTTTGGAAGACAGTTACGGAGTTTCTTACAAAACTAAACATATACTTATATCATTCAGCAATCTCACTCCTTGGTATTTACCCAAAGGAGTTGAAAACTTATGTCCACACAAAAACCTGTGTATGTTTATAGCAG